ATTTTGAGAAAAGATTTTGGCCTAAAACTTTTTTTTTTTTAACTCCATTCATGGTGGGGGGGTACATGCAGGACCCTGTAAGGCAAAATAGTCCCCAACAAACATTTTTTCCAGATTAACCACTATCATCAACATTACATATAAAAAATTTAGAAGACACGTGTAGGCTCACCGCTAGTAAATAAAATATAAAATAGCTACATTTGTAGACACATTGTAGACATCGAAACCCCCCCAGTCCCCATTACCACCATTGTAAAGTGGTTTCTGCCATCAAACCTCTCTGAATGGCTTTGTTTACCTCTTAACCATTTAATTATGCAGACAGTTTGTGGAATTCCCATTTAAAGCAGGTTACACTGCATGATGTAGACAAAAAAGTTGTAAAAGAAGGTCGGCGGTCTTTTAACGTTTAATGTGATGTGCTCTCCAGCGCCGGATTTAGTGCCTTTTATCATGTCTGTAAGTGACGCATCTAGACATTAAGCATGTCTATGTTCATACAGTGCGACGGATGGGATTGTACATTTTATTAATATATGTGAGGGACAGATCTGGATTTTATACAATGACAGGAGTTTAAAAAAATTTGTCAGAGATGTAGAAAAACAGCTCGTCACAATCAAGCAAGACCCAGCAGATCATCAAAACTGTCCCCATCAGATAAACAGTACTGTTAGCAAGAACAGTAACCCAGATAAAGGTTATCTTACCTCAGAGCTGTGATTGTGCTCTTCCACAGAGTTTAATCCAAAACCTTTTAGCTTTAGGAGTGAAATAAAAACATCAGCACCCTCCAGATGTGCTTATATTCCTCAGCATACGTTCCTCAGCAACACATTTCCACAATTTCTTAGCATAATAATTCAGACCAGTTTACTGCCACCACCGTTCTCACTGCAGGTTAGTTGTGACGAGTTTTTTCTTTGCTTTATGGAGGAAGAAATGTTTAGAAACGATAGTGATTGATTGAGAGGCATGACCATCAGAGTCAGTTGGCAGTGTGTAGAAACATCACTGCTTTCTTCTGTTCATTTGGTCTATGGTGTATGTTTATACATTTTTTTTTCTATTCTGTCCAGAAATGTTCAAGAAGTTTGATAAGAAAAACACTGGAAAGATCGAGCTGGATATTATGGAGGTAGGCATTTATATATATATATATATATATATATAATGGTTATATACATATGCAGTGGTGAACTGTGACAGTTAGTGCTAGGCCTTCGATTCGAGCCATGAATGTCTCAGTCAAAACATGAAAAAATCTCACCTCTACAATAATGCTAATTTCTGCTAGTAGTTTGTTAGCGCTAAGCTAACAGCAGTTTGCAATGAACATTTTTAGGCAGTTCTAGATTAAACAGACATTTGAAGGTTCTAAAAGAAATTCCATGTTTCACATTAAGCTTGTGACAGAGATATTAGCTTATTTCACCTTGTAGCGGTTTCACAGTGACTCAGTAGTGAGCTCTGGTGTAGAGCTGCCGCAGTTTTCCATTGATCATCACCCACTGATTAGGCTGACGCTCGTATTCACACTCAGTGACGTATCTAGAACTTCAAGAAGGCCTAAAGTGACGTTACTTCCTCACTAAATTGGTCTCACACACTGGAAATCAAAACATGATTGATTCCTCTTTCAGTTTGTAATATTGCTGATGGTTAATCTAAAGCGTTAGGCCTTCTCTTCGGCTCCTGAAGTCCTAACCAATAAGAGACCTCGCGTAGCTATGTCTACCTAGATGCTACGGGGGAAAAGACTTCCTGACTGGCCAATTTTCTGCACTCCGTTTCAACAATTTAACAAAATTTTTCCAAAATTTTACCTCAAAACAAGAGTAGTACTGTGATGCTTGCAAAGTTTCAATATAAATATGATTCTATAGAATGAAAATGAAATATAAATTATGCACTTGCATTTTTTAGTCTCCATAAAATCATTATGCCTTCTCTGAAAGCCTATGAGGCCTCGAAGGTTTCCCTCTGGTCATGTGCAATGCTTAATTATGAAGCTTGACAATGTGCTAAACACAAGCTGAAATTAACGTTCTAAATGTGTTTGTGTTTCAGTGGCTCTGCTTGGCGCTGAGCTAGGCCTCTGCTCGGGATCAGTGAGCTCCAGTATGACTGAAGAAGATTAAGCTCAGCAAATCCAGCATGGAGGAATAAATGCCTGAATATAGTGCAATTTTCAGATTTTTTTCAGATTTTGTTTTCAACAAGAATGATGAGAAGTGTTTATTATATCTCTGCAGAAAGAGCTACCTAGCGATATGACTCTATTTGTTTACACTGATGGAAATATCTGCAGTAATAAAAACATCCTTTATCATTTAAAACAATACAAGATCTTTGTGGTCATTTGTGGTTAAAAATGCATAAAACATCATTTGCGGTACAAAAAATCAGGAGTAATAGTAGCCCAGGTGACTGACAGGTATGTTACACTCTAACACGACGCAGCTCTATGATAACCTTACAGGAAATTTTCCATTCACCAGATGTGTAGTTCAGCAGCCAAGATATGTTTAATGTCTAAGTTTGGCTTCTTTAGTTTAGTTCTGGAGCCGTGAGGATAACATTGCAAACAAACACTAGAGGTCAATAGTCACCCAAACCTTTTCTGTGAATACGGCACTGTGAAAAAGTCAGATACAACCATTCATTTATTTAATGTTCAGTGTATGTGTGTGTGTATATATATATATATATATATAGGGGGGAGTCTGGTTCCATTGACTTACATTCAAAGTAAATTATGTTTTTCCTTCTTCTGTAAAGTTACCATTTTGGAGATACAAGGTTTTCTTCTGACAACAGCGATATTTTTATATATATATATATATATATATATATATATATATATATATATATATATATATATATGGACAGGACCCCCAGCACAACATATGTATATATTAGGGGTGCAGGAAAAAATTGATTCTTAGATGCATCACGATGCGGACGTGAACGATTCTGAATTGATTCACAAATCGATTTCAAAAATCGATTTTCTAAATATTTAATTTATAACGTATAGCGCCCGGACAGTCTGTGGCGGCACATAACAAAAACACACATGTATGAGCGAGAAATCCGACCGGCTCCCTCTGCATTAAAGCCAGGTTAGATCAGGAGTCACAACACAAATGATAAGAAGAGCCATTTGGTCCTTTCAACAAAAATCAAACCAGCTTGGGAGCCACAACATTTAATGTCCAGTATGTCTCAGTATGTGTTAATGTCCTAGTATAGGCTAAACAATATAAACGAGGGCGCAGATTTACTCTGCTTTAAGCTTTACCTATAGCCGCTTTGCTCCCCTTTCCCTCAGGAAACTTTTCCTCAGAAGTTCAATAGTTTCTTCTAAAATGTCTCCCAGCATTCGACTGTTTTCCGAGGCTGAAGTCGCTTCTCGTTCTCCAGCTTCTCGTTTGAATTTTCCTGTTCCACCTTAAATTCTGACTGAGGCACTGAATGTAACCTAAATGTGGCACCATTTAAGGTGGAACAGGAAAATTCGAAAGAGAAGCGACTTCATCTTCGCAACTTTTTAGTGTTTGACCGTCTGTCGCTGCAGATTTAACGTACCAGGAAACCAACTGCGCTGCTTATAAATGCGAATAACGCATCGTTGCTATGTGACCTGCAGTCGGCACATTGCGAAACAGGGCTTTCGCGCTATGTTGCACACGTCCCGTCTCAAAGATACTTTACTGACACAGAGATCTCTCTCTACAACAAGACCAAAACTGAAGTTATAAAATCACTAAAGTAAACGGGCAGGAAGGCTGTAACGCGCTGTGTGGTCATCCACTGCCACTGGATCTTATTTCACCGTAACTGCGCATTTTATCGCAGATGATTGGCAGCAGCGTCTCATGTGCTCCAAACGAGAGCAGTGACTGAGAGCCTTCTAGTTCACTTGCCACATCTTCCATTTGATTTATTAATAAAAGATATTGGAAGTAAAGCATTATGGATCATTACAAATACTTTGTTTTAAAAGTACCAAGTCCTCACACAGTGATAAAATAGAAACGCCGTATAGAAAAAAAAGATCGATAATTGTTTTATAATCACATCGCAGCCCTCTGAATCGTAATCGAATCGAATCGTGAGGTGCCTAAAGATTCCCACCCTTAGTGTGTATATATATATATATATATATATACACACAAATCATGCATAACATTAAGACCACCTCCTTGTTTCTACACTCATTGTCCATTTTATCAGCTCCACTTACTATATAGGTGCACTTTGTAGTTCTACAGTTACAGACTGTAGTCCATCTGTTTCTCTGCATACTTTGTTAGCCCCCTTTTACCCTGTTCTTCAGTGGTCAGGACCCCCATGGACCCTCACAGAGCAGGTACTATTTGGGTGGTGGATCATTCTCAGCACTGCAGTAACACTGACGTGGTGGTGGTGTGTTAGTGTGTGTTGCGCTGGTCTGAGTGGATCAGACACAGCAGTGCTGCTGGAGTTTTTAAACACTTCAGTGTCCACTCACTGTCCACTCTATTAGACACTCCTACCTGAGGTGGTGACAAGGAGGTGGTCATAATGTTATACCTAATCTGTGTATATATCTGTTATATAACATTGGTTTATTATCTTTATTGTAGAATTTATCTGAAGTTAGAAGGGGTGTTGACTGCTTTTTGAACAAGGTACAGTGCAGTGCAGCCAATCTAAACACACCTCATTTGCATATCCCCGTCTTAAAGGCATATGTTCATTCTGAGGGATGAAGTGAGGTTAAAAATGTTCATGCAAAGATAAATGATGACCTTTTCAGTGTATAAACCCACTCAGGTGTGATCGGTGGGCCTCATAAACACATAAACATAAACACAAGGCAAATGTGGAATATGGGCTCTTTAAATGTCCAGAAACAGTGAATCGTTTACAAAAACCACCGCTCTGGGACTCCCCACCTCTCGCGCGCACAGCCGGCCCCTCTCCCGCGCGCTGTGATTCTGAGTGAGAACATGTCCGGGGTCGCAGGGAAGCTGCAGCACGCGCGCTCGCGGGCGCGGGGTCTCGGCACGCGAGTTGACGCGCTCCGTTACCTGGAGCAGGACTACGAGGCGCTGAGGGGCGCGTGCCTCCGCGAGGGCCGCCTGTTCGAGGACGAGACGTTTGAGGCAGCTCCGCACGCGCTGGGCTTTCGCGAGCTCGGAGGCGGGGTCACGTGGCGGAGACCGAAGGTAGATATTATAGTTATTTTTCATCCTTTCATTAGTTGTTGTCTCACGTGCTAATTATCTGAGGTAAACGACGGAGGATACGTGATATAAAGCTATTAGCTATTTTTATTTTAAGAAATTTAACATATTGAGAGTGTAAAAGAGTGAAAGAGACAGGAATAACGTTATCAGCAGCTCTTTATGTTCTTTTTTTTTTCATCTTTAGCATCTGAAACGATCTCATCAGTAGTAGCCATACTGCTGTTGGCGGGAAGGTAGTGTGAGTGAATGGTCCCATAGTGTTAGCATGTGGAAATTTCTTTGAGAGGTAGCAGCTCAGATGAAGGCCAGTCAGGTGAGGAGATTTTTCGAGATTAAGCCTTGGCTTGGATGGGTCGCAGTGTAATATTGTAATATTGTATGTTGCACACAACGTTTATTCATTATTTACTGTCCCTTGCATTTCCATACAACAGACTATATACATTCACTATAGAATACAACACATAACTGCTTACTCTAACAGTACGTAACATACAGTATATATGGTATTTATAGTATTGTGTGTATATATACATGTGTATATCATTCATAGGTATATTTGTGGTTATGTATATACTGTTCATATAGTTATATATTTCATAGTTACATCATATTTGTGCCTGTTTTTGCACATTTGCACTGTCTGTTTTGCACAGTTCAAAATACATTTCAGACTTTAAACTGACTTGGACTTAAAACTCAAATATTTTTTGCTTTAAATGACCTTACACCCTAATTATGTTTATTTTATTCAAATAAATGATTGTACATCTGATTTTGTCACTAACACACCATCATAACACTACTGAAGCTTTTGTTTCGGTAGTGACTGTTTCAGCAGTGAAACATTTAGCAAATTTTGAGCAGAACAAAAATGCTAGCCAGTACATGACTAGCAAACACAGCTTTGAACAGCTGTACACACATAAAATCATCATATTTTTCGTTAAAATACACAAAAAATTACTGAGTCGCATAAAATATCTGTTTCGGTGGTGACAATTCTTAATGTTTCACACTGATTTTCAGACGTTGGGACACATTTACTTCAAAACAATGGGATCTAGCTGCTCACATTGCGGTCATGAGGGACAGGGATGCTCTAAAATGCAGGGGTGTGGCTAAAATAAGGCTCCGTCTGCAGACTAAAACTGTGTTTCGGTGGTGACAAAAGAAATGGGACAGCATTTTTTAAATAGAGTTTTTTATTTAAAAATTATAATAAATAAAAATAAAAAGTATCCTGTAAGTGATGATTTTGTATATATTTAGTCAATGAATATCTCAGTTAATGCCTTGAGTTTAAATAAATCAGAACATAATACTTGTAAATATCTACGTTCTGAATCCTTAATTGTTTTTTTGTTTTTTTGTTTTTTTAACTCTGGGGCTGCAATTTGAACTAATTCAGTGGAATCATTCATATAGATTTTTGTTAGTTGTTATGAAAGGCCTATGTAGGTGTCAGGTAGGCTTATGAATGCTGCCCTTCAGTAAAGTGTTATGCAACATCACTTCAGTCCCCACTCTGGACATTAGTTTACCATTTATTATGAACCCCCTCCAAATCGCCACTTTGAACGCTTGAATGCAGTAACTGCTTCCAAGATCAGTCTGACCTTGTTTATGTTTTTAAGAAAGGAATGCGGTCTTATCTGACCCCTGCATCTAGAACCTTTCCTGTGTTTTGATTCGCTTCTCCTAGGCCAATAGGATTAGAATCTGAGCTCCCTGGTTTTGAGTTTTGCCTGCTAAGAATTCTCTTTCTATGGTGAGAAGTAGCGGCTACTAAGGGGTGAGGGTGAAATTATAGACCTAGTAAAAATCTATTTCTATAGTAAAAATTCAGTTTCTCTGGTAGAAATTCTGCATTTGTGGTAATTCTATGTCTGTGACAAACTTTGCACTAAAGCTTTCATAACAGTGGCCTTTCACACGCATGCAAAATAAATAAAATACCATTTCAAATTAATGATGCATTATAAATGTAGATATTTTGATAAAAAACAAGTTTATCATTAGGTAGAATACGATTTGTTTGCAAATATTCTCTAAAGATTGTCCAACCAAGCAACAGTTACTACCAAAAGAACAAGCACACGTGCATCTACCAATCACCAAAGATACCATAGCAACCACCTAGCAACCATAGGAGATTCCTTAACCATTGCCTATCAAAACCCATAGATATACAAACGCCGCATTGTCTGTTGTTCTCTATCTGAGGTGATACGTCTGAGCGTCCGCCATGTTGGAGAGGTCAAGATCCGCTTGTGAACAAACTCACTTGTATTGAGAGACGAAGAGTCTCAGGATTAAATCAGCCACAACTTCCTTATTACTCAACCGATTTTCACCTAATTTGTATTGTTATAATCCTCATAGCTTTGCAGAACTGTAGCAACCAATCAAAATACCATTGCAACCACCTATTAATACCATAGCAACAACCTAACAAGGCCCTAGTAACTACCTGAAATACTGTAGCACCCTCACAGCAGCCACTTTTAATATCATGGTGAACCACCTAGCAACATCTTAGCAAGCACTTAAGCTAACACAGCAACACCTAGCAACCACCTGGAATGCCAAACTAATCACTAGTAAAGACCTTTGCAACCAAACTGGATACATCAGTAGCACTGCTCTAACAACCAGCTAAAGACCTTAGCAACCCCGCAGTAACCTAACAACTGCATAGCAGCACCCCAGTAACCAGGACAGTAGCAACTACCTGGAACACCATGGCGAACACAACTTTTATTCACAACCCAATTCATTCATGTTCATTGTTTCATCTCTTCTAGTTTGAGTTTTATGTTTTCTGCTTTCTTGACTGAAATCATCCTCATTGTGGCTTGTTTAGCAGTTCATTTCCTTCTTTTGCTTGTGTGAATCAGTGCGTCTTGCTTTTTTCCCATAAAATCTGAATACAATCTTAAAATATCTTTATAAGTATGTTTATTATAATGAGCAACACTTGTTTTTGTCATGCTTCCTGTTCCTCTTGTAGTTTGTTAATGTTAGAAAACATCCCCTCCTTTTCCTAAAAGCAAGAACCATCTGAGCAGATACAATGGGACGCTTCCTGTTGTCTCCAGGACATGAGGAGACATGAGCTTTAAAAATCTAGTACTATTAGCTTTTATGCTCACAGCCTCATGTTCAGTTCTTCTGAACTCCCACATTTATTAAACCTTGCAAATGTGTGTGGTGTGCAAGTTTATGATTATAGTCCTGCTACAAAAATACAGCATATGTTGTGTTTTGGATGCTGGTATGCTGGTTCACCAACATGACCATGCTGGGTGACCAGCTAAACCAGCACCAGACCAGCACAAACCAGCTTAGACCAGCATGGAATGCATACTGGTCTATGCTGTTTTATTTCAGCAGGGATGGCAAAACCTAACCACAAAAATGCTGTAATTTATTGACCTGGGAAGATCTGTTTTAAAAAGCTTTCTGTTTTTCCAGTATCCTGGTTAAATAAGTCTTAGGATCAGTACAAAGTCCTGTTTTACCAGCACTACCTGCAAAGAAGTAGGATCATGTCTGTTGTGACGTAACAGTGAGTGCGTTTACATGCACAAAATAATCCAATAACTGCAGAAAATTATATTTTGTCAGTAATCCAATCAACGCATTTACATGCTCCTGGGTAATCAGATAATGGGGAAACTCTGGGTCTACATGAGTCAGACAGTAATCAGATTTCTGATTTGCAACGAGCCAATAAACTCACACAAGAAGACGTGACGTAAACGTAACATAAAACTCAAACTTCATGCCACAGCTTCTTTTTTAAAAACATCGCGCCACTTTACCTGAAAATATCAACATACATCATCTAGAAAAGGAAGAATATTTAAATTCTTCAGTTTGTCAAGCATCCATTTAGTTTCGGTACCACTTCAAAAGTGTTTTGCTGCCATCTTGCAGTGATGCTGCTTGCTTATTTCTAGTGCCGCGGTCTGTTTTCACACATGCACAGACTGAAAGAAATCAGAGTAAAAGTTCACATGCACTGAGAAATCTGATTACTGAGCTAAAATCCAGCTCTCTTTATCAGATTTCTCAATTGGATTTCTCAATCGGATTTCTAGACTTTACTCCAGTCTAAGAAATCAGAGTGTGCTGCTTCCATGACCATTTGAATAATCAGATAACTACAGAAATTTATTGAGGAATATTGAGTGCATGTAAACGCACTCAGTTTGTTACATTATGATTTACATCCTCAAAACATCAGTTTGTTCAAGATACTCTGGTGTTTCATCCATTCGCTGCCATTCATCCACTCAGAGCCTCTGGCCTCCCTGGTCTCTCTCTGGTTACCCGTTTTAGATAGCCATTTCACCCAGTGTGAGGACCTCCGCCTTTTCTCTACACATGATTTGGTATAGCTGTATGAGTGTATGATTTGCATGAGTATAAGTTTGTGTGCACACAGTAAGCACAGTCAATCATTTTAGGCCTAGAAGTAGCTCATATGTTAAGCTAACTAGCAAGCAAGGTTTGTTAGCTTGGACGCTTTAGGCATAAAATAGTGGCATAATTAGTTGTTAGCTAAAATGTCTTAATCATGACTATTCATAATGCGCTGAATCATTTTCCTCCAACAAGCTAATCATTCCTGTTTCTGATGACTTCTTTGGGCTTCATACTGAAAATAAAAGACTAGTATGTATGTGTTTTTGTGCTCCAGGAGCTGACCCCTGAACCTCAGTTCATTGTTGAAGAAGCAAAAAGAACAGACATCATTCAGGGTGCTCTGGGTAAGTAATATTTACAATAAGCAGCTCCCTTACATACATGTGCTATACCATAAAAAACACAGCAACAGCCTACCAACAACTTAGCCACCACTTAAGGTAACATAGCAATGGCCTACAACACTTGAGCAACCACCTGGGATTCCACAGCAATGGCTTGGCAACACCTTAGCAACCACCTAGGATACTATAGTACCGGCTTACCAAAAACCTTAGCAACCACCTGGGATACCACAGTAATGACTTACCAAAAACCTTAGCAACCACTTGGGATACCACAGCAATGGCTTAGCAACACCTTAGCAGCCGCCTGGGATACCAGAGCCATGGCTTAGCAACCACCTGGGATACCACAGCAATGGCTTAGCGACACCTTAGCAACTACCTGGAATACCATTACATCCCAAGTCCACTTTTTATTCTATAATAAAAGCAAAGAAATGTTTACAGGATCATTATTCTGATTCACTAAACTAGTTACAATCCATGACAGTTCACTGATTATCCTTTAACCTTTTTAAGATTGCCTTATGTCGCTGTCTTATCACATAAGATCAGTCATATAAATTTTGTTTATCTAACATTCTGTTGAAATGTCTGTTTCAATGAGTTGTCCTGAAGCTGCAGTCACACTTGACATTGCAGTGTGCAAAATAGGCAGGACTGAGGCTGGCCTGGACGATTGGAGACTAAAACATCCTCCACTGCAATTAGCAAACTACCTAATTTGCAATAAGCAGTAAATAAAAACAATAAGCAGTAAAAACAAGCAAAAATTTTAGATAACTGCCATGGTTGGCAACAATGAGGTGACTGACTGGGGTGTGCAGTTGTGGTTAGCCAAGAAGCTAGCACTGCAGTTAGCAAACTGGCTACCTAGCCTATCATAAAAATGGTGCTGCTCACTGATCTGTAGCAAAATTGTGTAGATAACTGATGTGGTTGGTGGCAGCTGTGGTTAGCCAAGGAATTAGCTGGCTAACTCAGCTTCCACAAACAGTAAAATCACAAAAATGAAAAATAATACAGTCTCCTGATGGACTGTGTATTACACAATGTCTCCGCTGTTCATGTGTTCATTTATAACCAGTGGGGACTTAAATAGTTTGTGCTTAAATTAGCGTTTCCTCCATTTTGGATAATTAGTGCTGCTATATGAAGGGCCACTTTGAGGTCAACACAGACAAAGCAGTAACGCTATTGGTTGACGCAAGTTAGCATGTCAAAGCTCACCAAAAATGGACTTGCAAAATTTTGCTTGCTAATTCTAATGTGACTGGGCCTTTAGGAGTCTTGCCCTCATATAAAAAATATACAAGTAATATAAGACAAGGAAAATACGAGGAAACACAAAACCAGTTTTTTTTAAGTTTGAAAGTTTTGCAACAACCATGTGAAAAAGTAATTGCCCCCTACACTTAACAACTGGTTGTGCCACCTTTAGCAGCAACAACTGCAGCCAAATGCATCCTATCACTGGAGATCGGTCTTTTACTTTGCTGGAAGAATTTTGGCCTACTTTTCTTTTCAAAATTTCAAAATTACTTTAATTCAACAAAATTGGATGGCAAGCAGCATGGTTACCGGAGGAATGTGTGACAGCTTACAGTGCATCACACCCTTCATCATGTAACGAACGATCCGCTAGTTTGGAAATGCTCAGATTACAAATACCGGAGTTGGTACCTAGTTAGCTGTTTTAACTCTGCACAGATTGACCCACAACAAATGTTGCGTGCACAAAGCATGTCTTCTCATTCAGTTATATACAAAAGCTGTTCCCAACAACCATTCAACATGAATTGTGCACAAGTTATAGTTCTGAACTCTCTAAGTGAGAGTCTCTAGGCCAGCAGGAAGAAAAGAAAACTGGATCGCTCTTACCAGGTGAAAAGAGTCCCAAGTCTGTGGTTGTGAGAGATGAAAGGGAAGTAACAAAATTGTCCAGATTTACACCAATGTCCAAACCAGTAGGTGATCCTAACTGATGTTCCTGAGTTTGTGCTTGTTTTTTGTTGGGATATTTCCTCCTCTGGTTTTGAACCTAGAGTCCAAGACACTCAAATCCACAATGTCAACGTTTCCAGGGATGCAAACAAGAACAAAAATCTAAAAGGGGAAAGGAGAAGTCCTTCTACAAATGAAAACAAAACGCAACAAAACAATACAATTGTCTGCAAAACTGTTCTCAAACCCAATATATAAACCTTACAATGCAAAGTATCGGAACTAGACCTCGGAAGAAATGATGGAACCAGAATGCACTGTGGGAAGAAGACAACCTGGTGGAGGGAGTGCGATGCTCTTGTGGGAATCCTGGGTGCAGGCATTCATGTGGATGCCAATTTGATGTCAACATGTGCCACCTACTCAAACATTGTCGTGGAACAGGTGCACCCCTTCATGGCAGAGGTATTCCCCAAAGGCAGTGGCCTCATTCAACAGGTTAATGTGCCCTGCCACACTGCACGCATTGTTTGGAATCTGTTCAAGACCATGTTGAAGAGTTCAAGGTGTTGCTCTGGCTTCTAAATTTTCCAGAACTCAATCTGATCAAGCATCTCTGGGATGTGCTGGAACAAGAGGTCCGATCTGCGGGGGCTCCACCTCGTGACTTACAAGACTTAAAGGGTCTGCTGCTAACATCTTTGTTACAGATACCACAGGGCAACATCAGAAGTCTTGTAGAGCCCATGGCTCAGCAGCCCGGAGCTGTTTTGGCGGCACATGTAGGACTAGCAGTGTATTAGTCATGTGGTCATAATGTTTTTCCTCATAAGTGTACAGGATTTCCCTGTTGTTGACTGGAAACAGCTTTCCAAAAAGGTGTGAGTCAGTTATATGTCTGGGAATAAGCTAAATGGCATGTGTAAACACTGAAGCTGACAGGGTGTAACAACTAGGAATAACTAAGAATTTAAATAGTACTTCATGTGTTGTAAAGGGTTAGGGGCTTCCCACAACACTCTTGCAAAGATTTTGCAAAGATGTGTAATTAATCACACTCAGTATCTCTGTGCTGGTTTTGTAGGCAACTGCTGGCTCCTGGCAGCCATTGCTTCACTCACTTTGAACAAGAAGGTTCTGGATCATGTGGTTCCACCTGAGCAGAGCTTTGAGAAGGACTATGCTGGCATCTTTCACTTTAAGGTTACCAACTCTTTCTGTTTCTCTCGCTCTTTGGCTTTTTTTGAGGGGGCGGTTCATTTTGGCTTCAGCTAAGTTTTTATTTCGTTTCTAAAACGCTGCACATGTAATGTATGTAGGGCTTCTAGCTAAAGCTAAGTTGCAACCCTCGTCCCTGTTTGCTGTTCTGCAATGATAGACTGCAGTCAGTTAGTTAGGCCATGTTTACCCTGTTCATCACTTATCAGGACCCCAACAGGGCCACTACTGAGCAACTGTTAATTGTCTGGTGGACAGGACCAGCTCTAGCCTCTTGGGGGCCCCCAGTCTTGCAGACTCATGTTCTGTGAATATAGAGGCTAACTAATGACAATGTCTACCACAAGCTGTCTAAATTGTACACATTTATAATGGGCTAATTGCATAATGCTGATGATCAGATACTTGTTTGGGGTTCTAATAAGTTACAATAAGAATGACAATTATAATCTCAGCATTCAACACAGTATTTCTTGCTTAGCCAGCTAACTTTCAGCTTCAAACTCTGGTGACAGTGGCTTCCCTTTCTAAATATTTAGGTCATATGATTTCTCATTTTTATTTGACCGGCTGTTCATCATAGACATCATGCTTTCATGTGAGGCCATAAGCAGGTGTTTTTGTCGCTTATTAGTTAGAGCCGACACTTTAATTTTAACACTTTAACCGGCTCAATACACACAAACACACCACTACCACGTCAGTGCCACTGCAGTGCTGAGAATGATCCACCACCCAAATAATACCTGCTCTGTGGTGGTCCCGTGGGGGTCCTGAACATTGAAGAACAGAGCAGTGAAAGGCTGACCAATTAGACTACAATCTGTAAATGTATAACTACAAAGGGTACCTACGTGGTAAGTGAATCTGATAAAATGGACGATAAAGTGACCAGTGAGTGCATGTGCTCTAGATGCTCTTCAGCCTTGTTTATATGCTTTTAGTTTATCATTCAAGAAATGCTACATGAATAACTTCATTATTAGGTCTAGTTTATCAAAAGACTGAGAAAAAGTATGAATCATTTTGTCAAACTCTATAGTTTTGGCATTATGGCGAGTGGGTGGATGTTGTCATCGATGACCGGCTGCCCACCAGAAACGGGAAGCTACTATTTGTCTATTCAGAGCAGAGGAACGAGTTTTGGAGCGCCCTGCTGGAGAAGGCCTACGCTAAGTGAGTTTGCCATTTACCCTGCATTGTTAAACTTAAGTTTTTGTTTTGTTTTTTTTTTTAATTCAAAAAAGATGTTTTGTTAAAATGAAAAACATGGAATGTTGAAATAATAATAATGTAAAAGTCAGAGATGTCGGGTCGGATTTGGCATTAGTTTTTTGGGATGTCATACATCTTTACATATTTATGCCACATGCACAAGCTCAAAAACAAGCTCAGGCTCAGTGTTTAGGTCTCTTATAGATGTTGTCGTGATCACTAAAGCAATAGTGATTGCCGGAACGATGGGTCTGTGTTTGATAGGGTTAATCAGTGTTGACTTGTAGCTTAAGGGCTAATTAGCTGGGATCAGACTACACAAATTCAGCCCAATTTTTGTTGTGTCGCAACTGCCAAACCTCCAGCGTCAGGCCCTGATTCTGCAAATTAAAGAATAGCCTCAATAAAGACAATGACCAATCATAGCCTGTATCTCCATTTTTGTCATTTTTCAGTCTTTGACATAATGTAAAAATGTCTGTTGCCCAAATTTCATGAAGAATGGACCGAAAGAAACAGCTAAAAATGACCTGGAAAAAAGTCTGGTTCTGTTTAATTCCTGCTTTTTTTCATAGCGTGCCTGATGACCATGACTGTTGTGTTATTTCAGCAGAGGTTAATGTATTTGTGAATAGACTATTCCAGATATTGTGTTTCAGTTCGCTTTATCAGAACTGCACGGGTGGGAGCAATAATAAATTGTTAAATATATTTATATATCATTGTTATGCCCATGAAACTACTTAACATGGCATAGGACACTCCATAAACCTTTATACTCATTAAGAATGCAGAGATCTATGAATATGCATGATTATGATAACTATAAACTCTAACCAGTCACTTGATTTCAGTTGCTCAGATTTGAGTCTTGCCTCAGCACAGCATCAGTGAGCTGAAATGAACCCATATGGTTGAGTGTATCTGTTTCTTTACATTAGCCACTGGTGCTAATGAGGATAGCAAATCAAATGTAGCTTAAGCTGACAGCTCCACACAGGTTTACACACAAATTTGAGACTTCATTCTCTAAACTTGTGGCACTGAGGCTTCAGCGAGCTGGAATGAATCTGTGTGATTGGGTAAATCTAGCTAGCTTCTAGTGCTAACAAGGATATTTAAACAAAAATGACTTAAGCTAACAGCTCCACACACAAAAACACAGGTTTGCTCGCTCAGACTTAAGTCTTTATTCTCTTATGTCAGTGAGGCTTCATTTAGCTGCATGATTGTGTGGGTGTTCTTGCCAAGCTAACGCTATAGCTTCTAGTAATGCTAGCAAGGATTATTAAAGCAAAAGCAGCTTCGGCTAACAGCTTCTCACACAAAACAAGTGTACCTGCTCAGATTTGAGTCTTTATTCTCTAAACTTGCATCACTGAGGCTTCATGTCGAATATAAATTTAACACTATAATAATTTTAAACACTAATATCATTTATCCATTTAAGCGAACAGTTTACGGTGCAGTCCAAACATTTCAAACAAGTAAGCAACGTTAGTGCAGGCGTGCTACTTAATTTCAGTAACTACTAATTGTGCAAGTTATATTCTTAGAAGCCTGAGGAATTAAAGTCCTAGCCCACATACTGAGCTCTGTGTTGGTACACTGTGTTGGTAGAACCATCTATTCCCAAAAGGAAGCACTGCTTTAGTAGTATTATGAAACTGCCAGACTGTGGTTGCAGTAATGTAACCGTAAATACCAGTAAATACCATGTTTATCCCGTACCTGCTGCCTCTGTGTACAAAGGCTGTACGGCTGCTATGAGGCGCTGTCTGGAGGCCTGGCCTGCGACGCCTCTGAGGACTTCACTGGAGGCATCACAGAGGTCCACAAGCTGAACAAAGCAAGTCCACACCTGTTCAGACACATCCAGAGGGCTCTGGTCCTGGGATCACTGCTGAGCTGCTCTATTGACGTAAGCTTTTTGCATGTATATGAAAAAAGAAACCTGTTTTTAGCTCTTCTGGCCTTTTTCTTATGTGAAAAAAAGTTACTACTAATAACAGTTATTGGTATTTGGGATTTTGTATACATTTTGTCTGTAAATAAGGCATTAAAAATTTCTTCTTCCATCTACTCATTATTTGAAGTTGCAGCATGCCACTAACTTATTTTTATATTACTGAAAATATTGAACTTTTATTCATAATTATATGCCTTTGAACTGTTGCAGTGAAAAGTTGCAGTGCCCCTAGTGGCTATTCCACTGGTGGAATGGAAATCGACTTGGATACTTGTATTTAATATATGCAAATAAAAATATTCTTTCCCCTGTAACTGTTTTCAGATGAACCAGGGCACTGTTGTCTGAAACGTTATGACCCTGTGTTGAACTGCTAGTGAGCAATAAGGGGGAACGGGCAGGAGCGTGAACCCCCTGCTGTGAAAATGGTCATTTTGATTGACTGTCAATGGCTTATTTACTTGATATTTTGACTTGGTATGTCAAAATGATGGTGCATTTGTTTGGGATTTTGACTAAATATGTCAAAATAATGGCTAATTTCCTTGAGATTTGATTTGTTATATTAAAATAATGGCTTTTTTCTTGAGATTGTGACTTATTATGTCACAATAATGGCTTATTATCTTGCATTTTTGATTGAATATGTCAAAATAATGGCATCTTTTCTTGAGATTTTAATTAAATTCGTCAAAATACTGGCTTATTGTCTTGAGATTTTGACTCATTATGTCAAAATACTGACTTATTGTCTGGAGATTTTGACTTATGTCAAAATACTGACATATTGTCTTGAGATTTTGACTTTTATGTCAAAATACTGACTTATTGTCTTGACATTTTGTCAAAATAATGGCATATTTTCTCGAAAGTTTACAAATTAGTTTTTATTGATTTTAAATCAGTTAATAAGTTAAAACATCCTCTACAGAGCACACATTTCTACACATTATAATCCACAATTCCTGTTCATTTGCTGAATTTAACATACTGGGAAAAAACATGAATTATGGCCTATGCTAAAGTTATGTCACATTTTATTTTTTATAATATATTTTATAATATAATATAATATAATATTAACATGTTAAACTCTGCAAATAAATAGAAATTAGGAAAATGTCATATTTAAGCTTCTTTCCAGTTGAGGATATTCTTAACTTATTTTCACTTAAAAATCAAGTAAACGTAATTGTGCTGGGGGTCTTCAAATGTTTACATATTCCTCTGTATCAGTGGCCTCATTATAAGGCTTAACTGCACCATATGCAACTTGGGTGATCTTAGGAAGAAGGGAAGGTTCTTGATCACCAAAGCTGCTGATTCAGGTATGTTCTCGCTCACCATAATGACTTACTTTACTTGCAGTAATTGAGGTGTAGCTGTGACTGTGATGTGTTCCAGGCCTCCAGACCAGAGGCGGGCTGTGGGGAGGTGAAGAGGGGGCAGCTGATAAAAGAACACGCCTACTCTGTAACAGGAGCTGAGGAGTTGCCCTGCGGCCCTGAGGGATTTACATGTAAATGGCCGTGGTTATGTGTAAGTCAACTACAGTTAGGAGGCTCATTATTGAGTAACTACTAAATTATTCACTACATAATATATTAGATATAGACATGATAGTGAGGATTTGAAGTGCCTTTGCAGTTTAAGGCGTTTAAGTGGAGCCCCGTCAATGGTATGGATCACCTCACAAACTAAAAATCAATTCCAATTGTGTCAGAATGCACATATTTTTAGATTCAACACAATTTTTGATGCTTTATATATTGAAAACATTCTGATTCTACAGAGTGCTTGTATACTACATTGGTTTATATGATAAAAGTGCAAATTTTATTTATAAAATAAAATAAAATAAATAAAAATATTTTCTTTAATTGCAAAGTCCCAAAATAGTGAAATTTTGGGCTAAAAGTTCACAGGAGTTCACACCTTGGTGCAACCGCAACATGTGCACGTGAATGTGCCTGACTGTTCATTTATATTTTTCTGCTTTTATATTTTATTTTATGAGTGATATTGTTTTTGTGAGCTCATGTTCCAAAACCAGTCATAGTTCATTTTCACATATCATGTTTTTTGTCACTGTGCCTTAAGACGGCTGTATGTAAATGAGCTCTGTCCAATAACCTTTTGTTGTTTTTCTAAAAATATGTTAACACTTCATCTACAGGGACTTAATACGCTATATGGACAAAAGTATTGGGACACCTCCAGGAGCTTTTATGACATCCCATTCTAAATCCATAGGCATTAATATGGAGTTGGTCCCCCTTTGCAGCTATAACAGCTTCACTCTTCTGGGAAGCTTTCTACAAGATTTTAGAGTGTCTGTGGGAATTTTTGCTCATTCATCCAGAAGAGCATTTGTGAGGTCAGACACTGATGTTGGATGAGAGGGCCTGGCTCACAATCTTCGTTCTAATTAATCCCAAAGGTGTTTGATGGGGTTGAGGTCAGGGCTCTGTGCAGGCCAGTCAAGTTCTTCCAACTGTTCCCACAACAAAAAACAGAAATTATATACTTATATAGTGGAGGTTATAATGTAAGTATAAAGTGATGTGGTGGTTGAAGTAGAAGGCAAGAGGTTCTGAAAAAGTGGACGAGGAGTGAACGGTATATCAATGAAGTTCTGGTCATATACATAATGGCAGGTCTTTGTTTACCTGTGCAGGCTCGGGCCAGGCCTGAGATGATTCATCTGATTCGGATTAGGAATCCGTGGGGAATGGGGGAGTGGAAAGGACCCTGGAGCGATGGGTGAGTTAATATTAATGTTAATAATTATTATTATAATTTCCAGTCAAAATGACTATTAAGAACAAGATATTCAGTGATAGAAAAAAGCAGAAAATATATATTTAACAGGAAATTGCACAGAAGCCTTAAAATAGCCTTAAAAAGCCTGAAATAGAATATAAAACTTACTGTGTTCATGCTTTGCATCTTCCATTCTTTTTTGGGAGACTTGCTTTCAGGGATATTTCTCCACACCTCCAAAGTTCAGTCTTAGAGGTTGGTTGCATTTTCTGCTTCTGACCAGCCAATAATCCCAAACACATCACTCAGTGATGTTGAGGTCTGGACTCTGGGGTGGTCAGTCCATTGTTTCTAAGAACACCAGCAGCTTCTTTGTTTGTTTGGCTTATTTCCTTTTTCTCAGTAAGAGCTTCTTCACAGCTACACATCGTTTCAGACCCATTGCGCTGAGTTGTCTTCATACAGTGATGGATTTGTTCAGATCTGAATCAGGAGTGGAGCTTGATTTTCTCCTCTCTCTCTAAGATAAAAGCCTTAAGTGCTGTTTATCTGATTGGGACAGTTTTGGTGTCTACTAGGTCTTGCAGATGATTGTTAGGAGTCCCATTGTCTCTGCATCTCCAGGTTTGGAAACTCCTTTGACTTATCAGTTCTAAATGAATAACTTTGTGGGCTTTTTGGCTGGAAATTAAATAACCGAAGGGTGACCTCTGAACTTATATATATATATATATATTACACAATCTCAAAGTGCTTCACACAGCAAACATTGGAAACTTTAACATTATGGGTTGTATAAAAAGTTAAATAAATAAAATAACAGCACAATTACAAGCGATTGAAGAAAAATAGGAACCTTAAGGCTAGTCTGGAATACCTGCAGAGCGTGCATTCCTAATACTCTCTGACATACTGTTTCAGAGTTTAGATCCCTGTAGCTTATATGTCTTAAAGAAATACCCACAATGCAGTGTAAACAAAACACCCTCTCCATTCCAGGAGCTCATTATGAAAACACACATACACACCCACATGTACACACACACACACAATGCCTTAAAAAGCAGGTGAGTGTCCGGCTGCTTTAGCTCTATAGTTGCACTGTTGTCATGGGCGTGGCCTGTGTTGCCATGCGGATGCTGTCTGTAGTCGCTTATGACTACTGATCTGCTGGCTGTTTCGATTTCTCTTGTTTGTAGGAATGACCTGCGCTTTAAACAGGGTTGCCACTCATCCAGGATTTTCCTGGATTGTCCTGGATTTTGGTTGCCTGTCTGGGAAAAATGAATTTCCACAAAGTGTCTAGGAATCAAACCAAACAATGAGGCATTTAAGAGAGTTAACACCCACTGCAAAACTTCCTATTAAACATGCATCCACTCTTCACAAGCAAAACATCTACCCCAATAAAGATGACATACATTAAAATCGGACAGCTGAAATAAACATAAAGAAAGGAAAAGCAGCTTAAAAATAGCAACTCAAACCGTTAAGCATCCAGGCTAAAGCATACTGCCACAGCTGGCGGGGAAAGTGTTTTTTTCCATTTATATCTTACCTTTGATGATGTAGATGACGGTCTACAAGAACGATGCAACTTTTTTCTTTTTTCTCATTTTATATTTGGCTTTGGAAATGGGCTCTACTCTGTTGACATTTCAGGTCTCACTTGTACAGGTCCTCCAGGCACATCTTTTAAACATCTCGAGCTTCACCTTCAAAGTACATTCAAAGGAACGCTAGCTCAATACTAAACAAACCTGAAGTCTTGACTAAGATAATTTACAATCAGCCGTAACACAATGACAAATTAGTTTATTGTTTCCACTGTGCTGCTAGTAAACTTCCCACCGTGAGTCAAAACAGCTGTTTAGATTTTCTCATAACTGCTCACCAGGGCCCTCTAGTGGCTTGGGCCTCTGGGCATGTGCCCATAAACTCATAGGACGATCACTTAAATAACAATCTTAGATTTTTAACAATTTTATTTACATCTAAAAAGCCTGACCTACATGTGAGGGGGCTCAGGCTCCTCCGTAGCTATGCCAATGGTTTAAAATGACGTGACAAATAAAATGACAATAATAATTTATAAATATAATAATTACTGAGCAGATGTAATGGTTTGCAGGTCAGCAGTGTGGACAGAGATCAGCTGCAAGGACAGAGCCAGGCTGAGGCATAAAGCGGAGGATGGAGAATTCTGGTACTTTACACATTCGTATTCCACAAAGTTAAAATTTGATCCTTTTTTCAATATGTCTGTATAATTATATGGTTAAGATGTAAGTCAAAGTCAAACATCAGTGTTTTAATGTGAAATGCACCATTCTAGTGAGTCTGATTTGTTCACAGTGGTGGTGATAGGAACCAGACGTCTGAAGAGTTTTAATGCTACTCAAAGCTCCCTCACAGAAAGCTATCAATATGCGGCCTGATGCCTGAGACAATTGCATTTATTCATCAAAGTTGCATATGGTCGAATCCGATTGTAATAAGAGTGCAGGCAAATTTTTCACTGACGTAATAATAAGAATAAAAATATAAAAGCAAATAATACTAAGACATATAAGCAAATAGCAATCCAGTACAAAAGTGGAACAAATGATGTTAGTATTCCATTTAACACTATGCAAAAAAAGAACAATATAAAACATACACTGCAATAATACAGTGTTTAAAAATGTTAATTTACACTACACAATCACATCATTCTATCATCATTTTATTCTTTCCAGTTGTCGTAGTTTGAACACTGTACAGTTTGGTCAGTAGGGGAAAAAGCACCACAAACTCCACCTACAAGCACAGCCATTGGCTCATGAAACATCTGCAAGAATTAGGGCATTCTTCATGTAAATTATATGTAAATCAGGTGTTGCTAGGCTGGCGCTTGATTTCACGCACCGAAGCTGATTCAATAGAGCTTAAATCTCCATCTTTCCAACTTTCCAACTTTCATGAATCAGATGCAGAGTAGTTCGTATGTCCTTAAAAGCGGTCAAATCTGCACTCATTTTTATGCAACTTGGTGAATAAGAGCCATTGTGTTACAATACTTAGACAAAAAGCTTTTTTGCCTGAAACATTGGTTTTGGGTAGTAATTAAAGTAACATTATTTGTGCAATCTCTGGTTCCTGTAACCACCACTGTAAAGAAAATCTGGGGCATTTAACATTAAAACTCCGTTTGAGTTTACATCTCAATGATTGAATTATGCAGCAGTTTTGAAAAATCGGTAGAATTTCTCTTTAAGTTGTTGTTACCGCACTATAGGAAAACCATACTGGCTGATTTTTAAACCCTATAGTTTCACTATCAGTGCCAGATGAGTACAGCTGTGCTTGTGTTTGTGCTACAGGATGTCATTCTCAGATTTCCTGCAACGCTTCTCACAGCTGGAGATCTGTAACCTGACTCCAGACGCGCTGGGTGACGATGGCGTTAAGAGATGGGCACTGTCGATGTTCGAGGGCAGCTGGAGAAGGGGATCCACAGCAGGAGGATGCCGGAATTTTGAACGTAATGCATCAACTACAGTCAGGTCCATAAGTATTTGGACAGTCAAATGATTTTTGTAATATTGCCTCTGTGCACCACAGTGGATTTGAAATGAAGGTCACAATCTGATTAAAGTGTAGACTTTTGGCTTACATTTAAGGGGTACAACAAGAAAAACAATTACGTTTAAGAATTACAGCCATGCTTTGCATAGTCCCTCCATTCTCACAGGCTCAAAAGTAATTGGACAGTTTGACTGTGGAGCAGTTTCAGGGCCAGGTGTGGCCTTTTCTCTTGTTATTTCATGACCAAGGAGGTCTGGACTTGAATATGCATCAAGTGAGTCCAAGTGTTGAATACACATTTGGTAGCTGTTCATGGGAACTCTCAATATGTGAACCAAAGAGGTGTCGACACAAGTGAAGGGGGCAATCTTTAGGCTGAAAAAACAAAACAAACCTATCAGAAAGATAGCTGAAACTTTTGGAGAGGCCAAATCAAATCAACAATGCACTACCAAGCTCAGCAACACCAAAAGGAATTGAGAAGGAAAGAAATGGCTCATGTCCTGAAGCATATAACATCATCTGTCAAACATGGTGGAGGTAGTGTTATGGCATTGGCCTGTATGGCAGCCAATGAAACTGGGTCACTGGTGTTTATTGACGATGTGACTGCTGAAGTAGTAGCCGGGTAAATTGATTAGTGTATAGAGCTATACTTCTGCTCAAATTCAGTAAAATGCTGCGAAACAGATAGGACAGCACTTCACAGTACAGATGGATAATGACCACTACCACTAAAGGAACCCAAGAGCTTCTTAGGGCACATAAATGGATTGTTGTTAAATAGTTGTGTCAGTCACCTGACCTCAACCCAACTGAGCATGCTTTTCACTTACTGAAGACAAAACTGAAAGCAGAAAGACTCACAGAAACACTTCATCTGGACGTCTGGTTCCTATCACCACCACTGTGAACAATTCTGACTCTGTACGTTTCTCTAGAACGGAACATTTAACATCAAACAATAATTACTTTGTTTATGTCTTAACATTTAATTATGTGGAATCTTTGAAAATTTCCCTTGCACGACTCAAGGCGGTTTGAGGAAAGTGTGTAATAATTTACTGATGCAGTTTGCACAGGTCTAATTAATCAGGTATAAGGTTCCATTACTTGTTAACTACACTAGCCTTGTAGGTCCAGTGCAAACTAAAGAAGCAAACTTCAGACACTATATGGTCAAAACTATGTGGACACTCCTCCTAATTATTGAGTTCTGGTGTTTTAGCCACACCCATTGCCAAAACTACTTGAACACCTGGTGTATAAAATCAAGCACATAGCCATGCAATCCCCATAGACAAACACTGGGGGTAGAAGTGGTTGTACCGAAGAGGTCAGTGACTTTAAACATGGCACTCTCATAGGATGCCACCTTTGCCACAAGTCACTTCATGAAATTTCTGCTCTGCTAGGTCTGCCCTGGTCAACTGTAAGTGTTATTATTGTGAAATGGAAGCGTCAAGGAGCAACAGCAGCTCAGCCACAAAATGGCAGACCATGCGAATTGACAGAGCGGGGCTGCTGAGTGCTGAAGTGTGTAACACGTAAAAATCACTGTTGCTTGCATCACCTGCTTCAGAGCGTCAAACTCTAGAGGCAACATCAGCAGAAGAAGCATCGGGAGCTTCATGAAATGAGTTTGCATGGCTGAGCAGCTGCACATAAGCCTAAGATCACTATGTGCAATGGCCAGTCTCGGCAGGATTGGTGTAAAGTGTGCTGCCACAGGACTCTGCAGCAGTGGAAACGTGTTCTCTGGAGTGAAGAATCACGCTTCACTATCTGGCAGTCTGATGGATGAATCTGGGTTTGGCGGATGCCAGGATAACGCTACCTACTGGAATACATAGTGCCAACAGTAAAGTTTGGTGGAGGAGGGATAATGAGCTGAGGCTGTTTTTCAGGGATTGGGCCCCTTAGTTTTGGTGAAGGGTAATGTTAATGCTACAGCATACAAAGACAGAGCTCTGACCTGAACCCCACTGAACAAATTTGGGATATATTGTTCCATCGATTGCCAGTCAGGCCTTCTTGTCCTGTTGAAACAAACTCTGACATAAGTTGAAGTCATTTCGGGCCATTTCTTTTGTTCCATTTACACGAGATTTAGATTTTCTCGAAGAATATATATATATATGCTATATATATGTGTGTGTGTTGTTGGCATCAAATTCAAAATGGGCATATATTTCTCATTTTTAACATTTGATATGTTATCTTTGTAGCATTTTCCTTTAAAAATATGGTTTACTTGATTTGCACATCATTGCATCCTATTTTTATTTACATTCTGCACAGCGTCCCAACTTTTTTGGAATATTCATTTCATGACCTTATAAGGCAATGGATGGAATATATGGTCATATGCCACCCATTAAAACCAAACCCTCTTACAGAATGTGGACTGTTGGATGGTGGACTCTCTGCTCTCGTGCAAGAGATGACAATACTGGTGGAGATGATGGCCCCCCACCTTCCACAGTCCAACATCACTGCCTGACCTCAGTGAGCACAATGAGCACAAATTCCCACAAACACACTTCCAAACCTTCCAAGAGTGGAGGTTATTGTAGCCGTTAATGTGGGGCGGACAACTCCATATTAATTTAAATGTTTTGGAATGGGGTGTCCAGCAAGCTCATACAAGTGTGATGGTCAAGTGTCCACATACTTTGGCCATATAATGTATGTCTTGGCTGATTGACTACATTTGGTTCATTTGGTAAGTAAACTGTGTAAATTAGATTTTTGGCTTAAGTGTCATTTTAAAGTCCAGATGTAGCTGTTGCTGACCTTCCTCATGGATCTCTGCAGGTACGTTCTGGATGAACCCTCAGTTTGTGATTAAGCTGAACGAGGAGGATGACGATCCACATGATAATCACACAGGCTGCAGCTTTGTGGTGGCTTTGGTCCAGAAGAACCGGCGCAAGATGAAGAAGCTTGGAGAGGGACTGTTGACCATTGGGTTCACCATCTACCAGGTGAAGTGCTTGGATGCTTGTCTGCTTGGGTAATGGTTTTAAAGCTTTTAATAAAATAAAAATAATAAAGATATTGCATCTTTCAAAGCAAAACAATGTTATTTTGAAGTCAAGGTCAGTTAAAAATGTGTTTTCAACTCTGAATGAGCCATATACACTAAACTGGAATATGCTCATATCTTCGATATCACTTGCACTTTATTTTTGATTTATTTTCATTTTTATTTTTATCTTTGACGCTTGAGAGGCATTTTTAAATCCTCATTAGAACATGTTTGTTTAGGCTAGCATATAGTGTTTTTATGTTTCCTACAGTTGTATGCAAAAGTTTTGGCACTGCTGGCCAACTTACTTGTTTTGTTGACTTTCTGCGTGTACATAAGTAAACGCATCATCTACAGAAAACATATTTCTAAACAATTTAATGCACGGTTAATGTTTATTTGCTGAATTTAACGTATTGGGAGGAAAATAAAAAAGAAATATGGCCTGTGCAAAAGTTTTGGCACATACTACAGTTCTATTTTTTCCTATATGTCGAAATCAGCAAATGAATAGGAATTGTGGAGTGAATTTTGCAGGAAAATGCCATGTTTAGGTTTGTTTCCTGTAGACAATATGTTCAAATATTTCCACCTAAATACAGAACATGTCATTTGACCAGGTGGCATACAAACTTTTGTATACGACTGCATGATTTACTTACATTGCTGTGTAAAGCATGGTGAGTTTGTAACTAAAATGAAAAGTGCATCATAAATAAATTATTATTATTATTATTATTATTATTATTATTATTATTATTATTTCAGACCAAAAGAATCCCAAACAAGAGGAATAGCACCTAACAAATTTGAGAAATTTGTGCTTTTAGATGCTACTACGAAGTTCCACAGCAGTTCTATAGAGAACTCAGTAGCAGGTTTTTAAACTGATTCCATGTTTTTACTCAAGTTATTTTGTCATTATTTCACTGAAGTAACAATACTTGTACTTGAGGAAGGGTTTAGCCTCTTCTACCCACCTCTGACAGTCAGGGCCTGATCTTAGATTAAGCAAGCTTAGCTCATGACATTTGACACATTGCCAAACATTCCCTGAATCCTGTTTCCTTCCCACAGCTTCCTGTGAAGGTACGTGCACAATACAACAGCTATACACGCACTTCCCGCCCCTGCTTCTGCTAAGACAGATGATTGACAAACTAACAGCAACACATATGCAGCACATATGGGAGGTAGAATAGTGTAACAGCTGTGGATTGATTGACTGGCTGGGCTTAAGTGAGCTACTGATTTGACCTCTTAAACTCACAACAGGTCCAGATTGTTCCTCACTCTCATAGCTACTCCTACTCCAAAATAAGTCAAAACATCCTCTACAGAGTAAACACTTCTGCACATATTAATGCACAATTACTGTTTATTTGCTGAATTTAACATGTTGAGGGAACAAAACGGTGTGCGGCAGTTATGGCACATTTTATTTTATATTTATCTTTTTTAACTATTTTAAAGCAGATAAAAATAAACTGTACACTAACATTTGCCATATTTAAGTCTGTCCCCTGTAGAGGATGTGTTAAATTTTCACTTAGAAAATCAGAACATGTAATTTGACCAGGGGGTACTGAAACTTTTGCACACAACTGCTACTCTTATGTCCTGTCCATATGTTACAAATATGGCATACAGAGATTAAGTTGGAAAAATGCTGGAGAATTCCTTTAAGGATTTAAATTGTAAATCGATTACCTCAGTACTCAGGAGAGGGGAATATCCGCCTGGATCGCAAATTCTTCCTGACCCACCGTCTGGCTGCCCGTTCTGAGGCCTTTATCAACAGACGTGAGGTGTGCAGTCGCTTCCGCCTGCCTCCAGGAGAGTACCTCATCGTCCCCTCCACCTACGAACCGAATCAGGATGGGGACTTCTGCCTGCGCGTCTTCTCTGAGACACAGGCTGAGTTCCAGTGAGTACAACACAGTGTTTCCCCTGGATTTTTCTTCAGGCAGAGTCGTAGACCCTTCCAAGCTACTGGTGCTGTCGTACGTATGTGGTGTCATCAAACACGTGTGATCCTAGGGCTACTGAGTGCCGCAACTGTCCTATGATCGAGAGATCAATCTCCGGCAATACCACAGCCATCCATGGCCGGGAGTCCAAGAAAGAACAACTGGCCTCACTCTCTAGGAAAACAGATTGAAAATTTTATTTTGGCTAAAAAATGAGCGCATACCCGAAATACAGACTCGAGTCAGCGACTTGACTGTAAGGTGTATCATAACTGACAATAAAGAGAGAAAAATTCTTTTGAGAATTGACACAGACTCACAACCCGGAGACTCAAGTCTCAACTCGGACTCGGACCTCAGAGACTCGAGACTCGACTCAGACTTGCACCCCAGACACTCGACTCAGACTTGCGCCCCAGACATTCCAGACTCTACTCAGGCTCACACCTCAGTGACTTGACTTGAACCCATCTTAGAGACGTGAGGCTCAACTCGGACTCACACCTAGAGACTTCCACCTCAGAGGATGAAGAGACTCAACACTCCATTCTGACTCACACCTCAGAGACTCACCACTCGACTTGGACTCGAACCTCAGAGACCCAGCACTTGACTCGGACTCGCACCTCAGAGACTGAACAGTCAACTCAGACTTGCACCTCAGAGACTCAACAATCACCTCTGACTCATATCTCAGACTCAACACTCGACTTGGACTCACATCTCAGAGACTCAACACTCGACTCAGACTCACATCTCAGAGACTCAACACTTGACTTGGACTCACACTTCAAAGACTCACCACTCGGCTCGGACTCACGCCTCAGACTCAACACTTGACTCAGACTCAAACCTCAGAGACTCACCACTCGGCTTGGGCTCATGCCTCAGACTCAACACTCGGCTCAGACTCAAACCTCAGAGACTCAACACTTGACTAGAATACTTAGCCACTGAATTTAAAAGACATATACCATCTTTAGAAGAAACACCATTGGTGCTTGTTTATTAACTGTTTTAAATCAGATCACGGCATGAAGTTCCTGCTAAAGCCTGAGTAGAGCGATAAATCAATGTGATACACATGTTACTAACCCCTGAAAATCCTGGCCTTATTACATACTAAGGCTTATTATTCAATAACTACACTGTAAAAAGTGGCTCGTCAGATCAACCTAAAAAATGACTTCATGTGGTAACAAGTAAATTAACTAGTTTTATTCAACGTAAATAAATACTTTGCATGAACGTTTAGTTGAATAAAACTAGTTCAGTTGCTTGGTACAACTAATTTTTTAGGTTGATCTGACGAGCCATTTTTACAGTGTGCATGGACTCCAATGCAAACTATTTGAGCTGTTCTTAGGTTATAGAAGTGTATAATAAAACTTTGCCTCCGCCAGCAAGCCCTGGCCTTTTAAAGGGTTAATCTCAGCATTACTAAACTTATTTTAGGGATGATAGAACCAATCGGTTTCCTCAGTAGTGGACATTCTATGTATTTTTATTATTTTTGTTTTTCCCCAATCCCCACACAGTGGTTAGGACTCCCCCAATCACCTAATGCTACCAGCGCTTGCAGGGCGAAAGCTAGCACAGGTTTCCTCTCAGACCTGTGAAGCGCCACCACATCTTTTTGAACTGCCACTAACACAACGTCATTGGATAGTTAAACACTCTCGGAGGAAAGCGCCAAGCGCCAGATCTGTTACGTCAGCTAACAGACGCCTGCGCTGACTAGCATCGCACTAGGTGATGGGGGGAGACAGGGGGCCATCCTACCTACCCAGAGACAGCGAGGCCAGCTGTGCTCTCTTGGATTCCCCTCCACAGATGGCTGTTCTAAATGTATTTTAAATGTATTATGAATACTTGTTTGTGTATCATAATGGAATACATTACTGAACACATTTAGGGGCAGTCATGGGCTGGAGGTTAGGGAACCAGCCCTGTGACCAGAAGGTCACTGGTTTGATCCCCTGAGCCGACAGTACGTGACTGAAGTGCCCTTGAGCAAGGCACCTAACCCCCAACTGCTCCCCGGGTCCCGTGGATAGGGCTGCCCACCACTCCGGGCAAGTGTGTTCACTGCCCCCTAGTGTGTGTGTTTGCTAGTGTGTATGTGGTGTTTCACTGCACGGATGGGTTAAATGCTGAGGTGAAATTTCCCCGTTATGGGACTAATAAGGGTCAATTAATCTAAAAAAAAAACCTTAATTTAGGACAGTGTATTCAGTATTCAGCCATCACTACTTTCTCAAAGTAATCTGTACTCATTTGTAATAGATTTTGAAAAGCTGTTCCGAAACCTCTAATGGACAGTACAGTCCTCTTACAGTAGGACTAAGAAGGCAAAAACTGATACCGGATCAGCATTCTCACTTAAGTAAACATGTTATGTGATGTTAAATGTAAAAGTAATGAAGTTTTTTCTGCTGTAATAAAGTATAAGGAAAAGAAAGGTTTGGCAGTATCAGACATTCCAAACCAGACACACTGTTACGTTATCAGCATTAACATTTCTGTGCTTTTTCCTCCAGAGAGCTTGATGACCAGGTGGAATCAAATGTTAAAGAAGTAAAGTTTTCTTTACTCATATTTTCTGCTCTGCCTATATTCAGTAAAGAATACCAAACAGGAAAACTCTGTTTAACTGTATTGATAATCTAAATTGATATATTGATAACTTATTTATTTTAAATCATGTACTTGTTTAAGGTGGACATCTCAGAGGATGAGATTGATGGTCAGTTCATTAGTCTCTTTGGACAGCATGCAGAAGAAGTGAGTATTTCAGCATGACAACGTTTGTGGGGATAAGACATGTTGGAATTGAGTCACATTTAAGCGTTTCTTTTCTCCAATCCCTTAAAGGGCGGGAAACTCTCTGCCTTTGAGCTGAGGAGCTTTCTGAACAAAGAGGTCACTAAGCGTAAGTTCTGTATTTGATCCATTTCTTCTCCTCTCTGCACATACTGCTTTAAGACTCTTAAATATTCACTTTGCGTTTGCGTTTTACAGGTATAGACATACAAACCGAAGGGTTTAGCCTGCAAAGCTGCCGCGACATGGTCAATCTGCTGGACGTATCCTCATATAGATGATAGTGGGGCACAATCTAACATGTACTGGTTTTTCATATATGTTCTTATTAATATTTGAGCCAAATTAGAAATACTTTCATAGAGGGAACCTATGCGTTTCTGTTACAAATGAAAAGCAGCTACCGGAGAGAGGCTGGACAGCTGCTCTGCAGTAGCGAACAGTGAAACCACCCTCCCCTTAAAGGCGAAGCGGGACAGAAGAGATGTTCCTGCAGTGTGAATGTGCAAGTGGGGGAGGGGTTAAGGAGAGGTTGGACAGTTGTTCCACCGATCGCTGACAGCAAAACAACTCTCCTACTAAAGTGAGGTGGAAGCCAATGATGTGGCGGAAATCTAGGGTGGCCAGTCTAATTTTCATGCGCTGACCACCCTGGCCACCCCTTTAAAACCGCACATGCTAGTATATTACTACTGCTGCTACTATTGATACTACTGCTCCTACTACTACTAATAATAATAAATACTACTGCTACTATTCCTAAATACTCTTACTGCTACTTCTACTACTACATACAACTATTTCATCTAAATACTACTGCAGAAAACGACTACAGTCTACTGACATTTCTAAATACTACTATTATTACTACTGTTGCTACTACTACTAAATACTACTATTAATAAATCCTACTAATACTGCTAATACTAAATCATACTACTAAATCCTACTACTATTACTGCTATTACTACTGCCGCTACTATTATTCAACACTACTATTCCTATTGCTTTTGCTATTACTAAATACTACTATTGTTACTGCTACCACTGCTATTACTGAATTATACTACAATGCAACACTGTTATTACATATATATATATATATATATATATCTATCTATCTATATCTATATATATATATATATATATATATATATATATATAAATATACTTTGCAAACTGATCAGTTAAGTAACCTTCACATCACTCTAACAGAAGGATGGCAGTGGAAAACTCAGTCTGGTGGAGTTAAAGATTCTCTGGGACAAAATTCAGAGCTATGGGGTGAGTGACGTACCCATTTCTCTGAAGGTCATAAATATAAATACATATAATACTGTGTCATCTTTAAAACTGTTGGGTTCAGAAATTTGCTGTTGTCAGTGTAATACAGATAATGATGCAGGATGTAACTGACCCTCATCTTAGAACCAGTAATATGAGCAGATTTGTTTAGTGGCATGTATTCACCGCTTTAACTCATTTTCTATTGGACAGCTACTTCAAAATGTCTGATTGGTTAAGACCTGCTGTATGAGTATCTGTTTCATGATTTTGGAGAAATGCTTGAGTTAAACCTCATGATGTAGATCTTGCTTGACAGTGATATTTGCTTTTCTATGGAAGCCCATTACTGCCACTTAAAATACAAATCCAGCACCTATTATTTTGAGATACTAAGTCATTATTGTAAAATATGCTAATTATTTTGAGATACTAAATCATTATTTTGAGAAAGTTTGTTATATTGAGAAAAAGTCTTGTTATTTAGAGATGCATTATGCTTTTAAAATGAAAATATAAATAAATATAAATACATATTTATAAATATAAATAACAAGAAAGTTTCTCAAAATAAGAGCTTCACAAAATGAGATAATATCTCCAAATTATGACTTAGGATCTCAAAATAATGTCAGGATCTAAAAACAATGATATCTCAAAATGACAATCTCTGAAAAGAATGAGATAGTGTTTTAAAATAATGACTTAGCATCTCAAAGTAATGAGATCGTATTTTAAACTAATAACTTAGTCTCTCTAATGACTTAGTATAATGAAATAATTGCATAGCAGTTCATTTACATAAATATCAGCACTATTTTCAATTTGTGGGCAATGACTGTGCAAATTAATTGACTCCAGTTGGTTTATGCAGATCACTTAGCAAGTTTTGCTGAAGTTACAAGATTCATACAAGCCATCTCACAAATTAAAGTATGAAGCTAAAGACGTACAATAAAAGTTCTTGGCTGTTGTGTTTGTGTTCTATCAGAACATCTACAAGGAGAAAGACGAGGACAAATCCGGCACGATGAGCTGCACAGAGATGAGGCAGGCTGTGGAGGCAGCAGGTCTGAGAAGATACTTACTCACTCAGCTTTTCAGTCCAATCAGCATATGACTCTGAGGGGCTGAACACAGTCTAAAATCTGAAGCTGCCTCTAATTTTGATGGTAGAACAGAGTCTGTGTGGTTGTTTGTACTTTGCAGGATTCTCTCTGAATAACTCTCTGCATCAGATCCTCGTCGCTCGCTACAGTCAGCCCAACCTCACCATCCACTTCAGTGAGTTTGTGGGCTGCCTGGTGCGTCTGGAGTGCATGTTTAGTAAGTGTCTGATATCAGTAACCTGTATTTAATGTGTAAAATACTGAATTCAGATCTGTAAAGATGATCAATTATGTTCTTGTATACAGAAATATTTCAAACGTTGGACAAGGACGGAACAGGCAAGGTAGAATTCAACATGATGGAGGTTTGTGTTCTCAGTCATCACTGATAACTTCCAAAGCGGAAAAGAGACACTTGGAGTTTTAAGGTTCCATCTGACATGTTTGTCAAAATGAAGTTATTCACATATTCTTATTCTGTGACAACTTCTTCACATTATGTGAGGTGTGTCTTTTTTAATTGTGTGCATTTTTGGACTCTTTATCTAGAAAACAAAATCAGCAAATTCAAACTCTCACTTAGTTCTATAAGGTTCTACCTGTGAGCCAATCAGCACTGTGAAACACACAAGAGGACCAGTCAGGTTCTGCTTCTTTGTCACGTCGCCGCTCTGCTCAGTGACTGCGGGGAAAAGTTTATAAAACTTTATGAAACATTAAAAATATGCTGCTGAAGCTCTGCCTGTCTTCTTAAAGTTTTTTTTTTAAAAAGTCTTACTGCATTATTATTACTATTTTAAGCCTTAACGGTAATTAAATAGTGTACATTTGAATTGACAGGGTCTTAATTACAACATAAACATTCATTTCATTCATTCGTCCAACTTTTTTTTTTTCTTCTTTCTCACAAAACAACATTTCGGTGCATTAGAGTCACATTTCTGATATAAAACAAAACCTCACACGGCCTTTAGACTGACCTGCTACACTTACTGGCTGGGACAATACATTACAGTAGCTGGTTGCTGTGAAACCTAAAAGACACTTAAACTAATGGTTCCTACATAAAACTGACCTCTGCACTGGACAAAATATTTAGTGCTGATACTTAATCCATCAGTCAATGATTTTTTGAATAAGAAACAGGAGATTTGTCCTAAAACAAGAAATAAATGTCATGAAAAAACATTAAATTTAACTTTTTGATACATCAACACAGTTAGATTTTGTTAATTTTATGTTTGAAACAAATTACAAGTCCGTCTAAGCGTCGAAGGCTCTGTCATCAGGAGATTGCGAGTTTGATTGAGCCTTCACCCTCCTAGCGCTGGTAGTATCGTGTGATTGGGGGAGTCCTAACTAGTGGGTGGAATTGGAGACGACTAAATTCGGGAGAAAATTGGGGAAAAATTAAAAAAAAAAAATACAAGTAATCTGTTTGTGTTCCTTTAAATTCATAGCTTCTTTTCATGTTTTGTCAGATAGAACCTTATAATTCCAAGAGGAAAGTGAAAACCTTCTGTTCTGTCTGCATTTGACCTGTTCCAAAAAAACTCATCTACAAATCTGATAGGATTTTCAAATTTTACATTTAGAATTTTACTAAATATTTGAAGCTCAATATCTCAAAACTGCTCAGAAACTTATAATTCCAAGGGGATCCAATTTGTATTTATTTAATTGAATTTATTATTGTTTCATGTATATACTTAAAAAACAACTGTTTTAAGGTTCAGTTTCCCCTGCAGGTAATTATTACTGTGTTTATTTTAGCATTTATTCAAGCTTTCCTGATCAGTAGGTTTGGTGGGGGGCCAATGTGAAAATTCGCTAAGGGTCTCTGAATGTTTAGCCTCAGTTTCAAAGTTTTGCTGGAGAATTCCACCATCATTGAGATGTAAACAAAGACCATTGTGACCACCTAGAGCAAGGGTCAGCAACACCCAGCTCTGAGGCCACATGCAGCTCTTTTACTGTCCTGTTGTGGCTCCACAGCAGAATTAGATTTGTAGGTAAAAATAAAATAATCCTCCTTTACAGTAAAATAAAGCTCTGCTGATCGTTCAACACAGTTTAACAATAAATGGTGTTAATCGCTGGAGTTAATGTAGAACTGCTAATTCACTATTTAACCCTGAAGGCTGGCACGCAGACTGCTGGTCACCATAGCAACGACAACAATTTCGCCTAGCTAATGGCTAACAAAAAAGCAAAGAGAAAGATTTAAGAGGAACATCGATAATTTGGAGATGAATGGACTTATTTCCATTTATAAGCATTTCAGCTGGTTTCCTGATACGTTTAATCTGCAACGAGAAACTGACAAACACCACAAAGGCGCAAGGCTGAAGTCACTTCTCATTCACCAGCTTCTTGTTCAAATTTTCCCATTCCACCTTAAACGGTGCAGCAGTTACATTCAGCCTATTCATTCAGTTCTACTTTTGCGGAAAAGTTTCCTGCCAGAGATGCGAGAAAAGCGGCTATAGCTGAGCTAAAGCTTAAAGCAGAGCAAAGTAAGTCTGGATTTTCATTTATATTTTTTAGCCTTTACTAGTACATCAACACATACCGAGACATATTTACAGCCAAGATGGTAAAACAGACATAAATTGTTGTGGCTTCCAAGTGTGGTTTGATTTTTATTGAAATGGTTCTTCTTAACATTTGGGTTGCCAACCTCTGGCCTAGACAGAGCAAAGCCAATTATGGAGGGCTGTGGCATCACTGGGGATCAAACTGGTGGTCTCCTGATGATAAGGCCCACGTTTAGACAGTTGTGCCACTCCACTCTGAGCCCCTCAATGACTTCTCCTTTACATGCTGCTAACGCTAACTGTTCTCTGTCTCCATCTAGTGGCTGAGTGTGACTATGCTTTAAAGGAGGACAACAGCAGGCTGTGGTCAGCAGGGCAGCACAGAAAGACAAACATAACAGACAGAAACAGGAGCAGCGTCTCCTCCTAATCTGACTAAAGCTTTACTATAAGCAGAGAGAGATCAGAGCAGAGCAGAGCAACATGGGACGAGCCTTCAGTCTTTACAGCGTATATTACAGCTGATGAAACTCATCCACTGTGGAGGTGTTTATCTATGGATTATAATTCATTATGAAACTGATTTTGTGATTATCAGAAATTAAACTGTGTATGTTCGCCACTCGAATTTTGAACCACATGCCATACGTCTTATATTATTTTATTATATATATTTTTATATTTTTTTAATGAGAAATTATTTCTGACATTTTATTTACTTCTTTTAGTTTGTTTTTAGTATTGATGTCATTTTTGAGTTGTTTTTTGTAATATTTTTGTATTTCATTGTAAAATCAGTTTTTATTAGTATGACATTATTAAAAACCTGCAATGATGCCAAATTATTAATACAAGGAATAAAGGAAATATAAGAAATTACACAATGTAGATTTAAAAGATAGAAATCAAACCAAAAGGTATTTTTAAACATTTCATTAAGCATTTTAAGAATACTCAGAAGAATTTATTACTACATTTATTTAAAATATACTTTATGTATACTTTACAGATAGTAATTTGGTCTGAAGATTTAATCACTGCTTCATAAATTTTATTTCGCAGTTAAATATTCAGGCCTGATTGAAGCTCTGCTGCACACATCACCAATAAAGCACACGTTTGTTTATGGTCCTCATTCACCAACCGTTCTTAAGACGAAATTTCTTCTTAAAACCAACTTACACATTTTCTACGAAGATTCTGACATTCACTGATGTTTATGGTTTCTTTTTTGGCATTTGTTTTTAGGTAAGAACAGAATCTGCACACACTCGAGAGCACAAAGGTGTGAACAGTTCTGTGGTTTAAGAACACGTCATGAATCTGACGTAGACTTTTTCTTAGGACCTTTCTCAAGAACACATTTAGTCAAAAAATTTGGACGATATTAATGAATGAGGCCCAGTGAGCTTAAACTCAGTCTTCCCTCACAGTTAGATAACACCACAGCCCTCAGTACTGGAGACCATTTCCCACTTCAGGTATCTTAGCCTGCCATTAAGAATCCTTGGGAAAGACTCTCCTCTCAAATCTGATTAGACAGCCTTTCTGGATAAGAGCATCTGTCATATGCAGTACATTAAAAGTTAATTAATGTTCAGGAGTTGCCCTCCAAAATGTGTAGGAACAGGTCTGAGGATGGGTTCCCCTTTTCTGAGTCTTGCTTCCTCAGCGTTTCTTAATGCTCTTAGAAATCTATGAATCTTCAACCTGCCAAATGTGAGTGAGTGAGTGAGCAAGGAAACGAGTGAATAAGGCAGGCCCATGAGGTACTTTGCTTCGAATAAAAAAATTGTTGAGCTTTGGCTTCAGAGGTAGTTTAACTGCACTTAACGAAATAAGAAAAATCTAATCTTGAATGTTAGGAAAATAATTTAATGCCCATTTAATATAAAACACAGTACAGTCTTCCTTTTACAACAAAGGAAAAAGAAATATTTTTACATACCAATGAAAACAAAAGATTGCATACCATTCAATTTCCAGTACAAGACTTCAATATTTTAGTGCTGAGCTGTATGAAGGAGAGTGAGAGGCTACAGTCACGAAGGAGTCAGAACCACTGACTGTATATATAATATATATTTTGATTGGCTGGAACATGCAGCCACTGCTGCTCTCACTGAATGTTTGTGATGAAAACTGGACACCGTTCACTCGTGTTCAGTTCATGTAAGCCTGATGAAAATGATGTTACAGCATTACTGAAAGTAATTAATACATTCTGATGAAGCTTATTTTGTCCACTCAAATAACTGTAACAAAATGCAGTCAGGGTCAAAGTTCAAATAAGACAAAGGTGATTCACTGTGATTAATCACATTAATTTGTGTCATTATTTTGAACGTTTGACAGCCCTACGATATTTTAGATTTTTAATTTTATCCTCTGTAATAAATATGTTGCCAGTTCAAAATGTGTCTGTAGAGTTCTCATTTCACTGAATGTGTGAGGGTCCGAGTGTGAGGGTCCGAGTGTGTGTTCCCTTTGTGTGTGTGTGTGTGTGTGATGTTAGATTAGTGTGGAGCTCAGTTTGTTGTCTGCTGGCGTTTGTTGTGGGCGAACTCTTCAGCCCAGCGCATCGTCTCCAGCAGGTCAGTGACATCTGTTGCCATGCCGACACCTTTAGCTACCGTTGCTGAGCCACCTGCGTTTCCCCCCAAGCGGCCACAAACAGCCAGAGCCCACTCACTTGCAGATACAGCAACCTGACCCTGCAGAGGGAGAGAGAGGAGGGGTGGATACAGAGAGATAGTGATGGTGTGAGAGAGAGAGAGAGAGAGAGACATAAATATTTGCATATGACTATATGTGCGTTTTACCTTGGGAACCTGGCAGGCACACAGAACTCTCCCTGAAGGCTGGAGGTGGGAGAGCAGCATGATCAGAGAGTCTGGAGCATGTTCACTCAGCTGATTCACCGTCTTCATCACCACCTGCAAAGTAGGAGTCATCATCATCATCATCAACAGCAGCAGCAGCAGCACCACCTTCTATACCAGGTATTTAATTAAAATTCAATAAGGTCCAGTTTTCTCAAGCAAAGGTCCAAAACATCATAATATCTAACCTGCATTATGATTCAGTGCCATATACTGTAAACTGAAGTAGGAATATCAACATCTTCTACAGTCAACAAGTGAATTTCAAATCAAATAAAGTACAATTCAGTAACATTTCAACAACATTTATAGTCAGTTTTCTCTTTTTAGAGCACGACATGTGAAATAACCTCCCTCTGACTCACTTTCTTCTCTGACTGCTGTGTCTCGCCTCGTCCCTCCACTGTGTGTGCGTTGCTCATTCGAGTCTCAGTGCTCATCGTAATGCACAGATCTGATTGGCTGAGTAGCGTCATGTGATATTTTCGACTCATGTGATTGGTCTGTGAGTCTCCCAGACCGCTAAAGCTACCGTAAAGGCTAGAAAAGTTACGCCGCTAAAAATAGGACCACCCTGTCGAAATTAAATAATTCTCCATAGTTTATCAGTTATAGGTCCAGGTCCGCATAGGACAGCGTCTGGGTCCGGATTCGTGGTGGTGGTGTGTTAGTGTGTGTTGTGCTGATACGAGTGGATCAGTTTTTAAACACAGTGTCCACTCACTGTCCACTCTATTAGACACTCCTACCCTGTCAGTCCACCTTGTAGATGTAAAGTCAGAGACGATAGCTCATCTGCTGCTGCAAAGTTTGTGTTGGTCATCCTCTAGTCCTTCATCAGTGGTGTCAGGACGCTGCCCACAGGACGCTGTTGGCTGGATATTTTTGGTTGGTGGACTATTCTCAGTCCAGCAGTGACACTGAGGTGTTTAAAAACTCCAGCAGCACTGCTGTGTCTGATCCACTCAGACCAGCGCAACACACCACCACCACGTCAGTGTCACTGCAGTGCTGAGAATGATCCACCACCCAAATAGTAACAACTACAAAGTGCACCTATATAGTAAGTGGAGCTGATAAACTGGACAATGAGTGTAGAAACAATGAGGTGGTCATAATGTTATGCCTGATCGGTGTACATTTCTGGCCAAACCGTCCACTACTACTTAAATAGCTTTTTCATCTGGCACGCTGGAACCACCCACTCAGCACTCAGGTCCATGAGGCCCACACATGTAAGGAAGCAGTGAATGGATTCAGGAAAGCTTTTCAAAGAAAGTTTGACTTGTTTGGCCAAAACTATGTTTATATGTTCAATATGTAAAGTGCAGAAATAGAATACTAGTATTAAAGAGGTGAAGCCAGACATCTCGCTTCATCAGCACTGCACAGCGTGAACAGTGTCGTATGGAACGTTTATCCAGACTAAAGAACGTCTGAAAGAATTATTTGGTGAATAAATTTGCTGAAGCCGAATTTAAACCTAATTTGGACAGTTGATTATTTTATTAGAGGATTTTGTTCCATATTATTTTATAACTCATTTCCCTGCGCTCTACTGACTGCTGCTGTGGTCACTACAAGGTAACCGGCTGACCTATCAGGCTTTATTCTGTGGTCAGTGAATATCACAAGCATTAAGAGAACAAGAATGAGAGGAAAAACTGAAGGATGAAGAGGAAAGGAAAGGAGAGATGGAGTATTACCGATATGGAGTCCGTCTCCAGTGTGTCCACCAGAACGGCTTTATTAGAGTGTCTGTTCAGCAGTTCCTTTGCTTTAGCAGCAGCCTATAGAGCAACACACACACACACACACACACACACACAAACACACACACCACAATAATGTAATTAACTAGTGCAATTAACACTACAGCACAAACCAGAAGTCGCAAGTAACAAGTCTTCATACCCAAGTCCCGAGTCAAGTCCCAAGTCAAGATAGTCGAATCTCGATTCAAGTCCCGAGTCAGTACAGGCGAGTCTCAAGTCGAGTCCCAAGCCAACAGTCCTAATCTTCAAGTCCTAAACAAGTCAGTCTGCATTCTTCAGCTCATTTAAGGCCATAATACTGAATAAAGGTGGCAGTACTGTAGCCTTTTAATGACAGTGTGATAGCGCCCAGGATTAAGATAAGAACAACTCAGCACTAAAACCAGCTCAGCCAACTTAAAGCAGCCGCTAGTTTGAATTGATTTTAGACGACAACAGAAACCGAAACGATCGAGCCGAACAAAGTTTACAGAAAAGACAGCTAAATGATGGTGAATGTACGAAGCTGAAGCTGACCTTTTTCGCCAGCTTCTTATTTGAATGATCCGTTCCACCTTAAATGGTGCAGTAGTCACATTCCGGCGCCTCACTGCTGCACCATTTAAGGTGGAACGACAAATTCCAATTTGAAGTTGGTGGATAACAAGTCAGCTTCAGCCTCGTGGTGAATGTTGTGCTTGTTTGACCTGCAGACGCTGTCAAAATCAGTCAAACAGAGACGCTGTGTTTCTTTCTTTTGCTACCATGAGGAAAATGGCCGTTTCACCTGGTGAGTTTCTCCAGGAAGGCTGAAGTTTAAGTACTGAGGGGGCATTGATGCTTTTGACGCTTTGCTTGTTTCCAGCTCAGGGGGCGAAGTTGAGCTCTAATGCGTCTCTCGTCTTCCGAAATAAAATAAACTGAGCATCAACACAGTGACAGAAACTGACGACGCTGCTGCTTATTCAGTTTACGGTAGGAAACGAGTCCTTTCACAGGAAAAATAGTCGACTAGTGGAATTCTTCCACTTTGAGTCTCTAGTCTTTCTGAGTCATGACGCTCAAAACTAACTCCTGCCTTATTTTTAAGCCCTTTGGATAAAAGATGAAAGTCATGGACATCATTTTTGGTGATGTAAACGTTGTGTGTATTTATATTTGTGTGCATTTTTCATTTGTAGTTTTCTAAAGGCCAAACGTGGAAACCGGGCCGTTTGCCATGCCTTGCGCAACAGGCTGACATGTTAATCAATGTAGTTTTACACTGTCCATGGGCAGCACACACCTACATAAAGCTTATTAAATGCATAAAGAAATGGAAAAGAGACATTTGCAGGTTACATTAAAGGGGAATTCCACTGATTTAAAAAAATTCTGTATAATTAAGCTATTAAAACGCTCCATTCTAGAGAAAACACTACAGTGGTGGTGAAGGGAACCAGACGTCTGAAGAGCTTACTTGCTCTAAAATCTACAACCCAGAAACCTATTAAATGAAACAGTTATGAAAGCAGTGCCTGATGTCTGAGACATTGTTTCACCATAGTTTTGAGATATTAGCCTAAAATATATTTTTAAAACCCAGTCATGGTGGAGGGGAGGGATGCAATGTGCTGTGAGGAAAA